AGCGATACAAGATTGTTGTGCGGTCCAAGAGAGAAGGCAGCCATAAGCCGCGGAGCTCAGACACAGGGTTACTACGAAAGAGGAAGGTGAAGCGAAGGAGAAGGGAGGAGAGACGAAAGAGAAGAAGTCATAGCTAGGGAGAAGGAAGGAGGGACGACGAAAGTGAAGGAAGCCATAGCCGGTGTGAAGCGAGGAAAGAGGAGAAAGGAGGAAGGAAGAAGGAGGAGGATGAAGAAGGTTGGTGAGGAAGAAAGGGGTCGGCAGCCATAGCTGAATCGAGGGTTGACCAAGGCGTTGACAGAGGGGTTGACAAAGGGTTTGACAGAGGGGTTGACCTACGTTGACCAAGACTTTGACCAAAAAGTTGACTGGCGTTGACCAAGGCGTTGATCGACGAGTTGTCCAAGCGTTGACCAGCATTGACCGAGGCTGTTGACCACGAAATTGACCAAGTTGGAGTTGGTATATTCTCGCTAAGTTTTCAGCCTATTCCCTCGCCCTATGGATGTGCACTCACCCCATGGTACTTGTTGAGTCTGTCTGTCTCTTCTTTCTGCATTGAGTCTCTTCTGTCCAGGTGATAGGAACTCTGTGTATGAGGTCATAGAGCTCTGTTGACCAAACCCACACGGGCTGAGTAGGGCTAAAGGCTGTGTCTGACGATCGACTCACCCGGAGGACAGGAACCCTCCCAAGGACCGGTACAGACCAGCGGGCTGCTCTGTGTGGCACAGTAGGCCCAAAATCCGAGTTGTGGGCTGAGGACTTGCTGATCACGTCGTCCTGTTTGCGACATCAAATCATTCTTGGGGAGTTATGCGGGATCTCCTTAAATGCCTCCTAATCACCTGTAAGTCCTGTAGTGATAGCCTTAGTTTTAGGTCTAGGCTAGAGACCATAGTTGACAGGATCTTACCAAGATTCTGTGGTTCTTAGTTGAGTCAGTCCGAAGTTAAGTCAGTCAGGGGTGAGCGTCTAAGTGGTGAGGAGTGGAACTGATTCTTGGTTGTGCACCTTTCACCATGGTTGACCTACGTAGTGGCAAGAGTACCACCCCTTACACCAAGGCTCAGGAAGAGCAAGCCGCCGCTTTACTCAAAGAGAGGAAAGAGGAGGTGGCCATGGAGGTGATTAGACAGGCCAAAAAGTTGGCCCTACTAGAGGAGCAGGCGACGAAGAGGAAGAAGTTGGAGGAGGAGATGGAAAGATTGAAGCAAGAGGATGAAGAGGAAATGAAAGCAGTGGAAGAGGAAGAGATAGAAGAGGAAAAGGAGGAGGAGCCCCTGATCAGGAGAGGCACCAGGGATAAAGGGGAATCCAGTGGCACGAAGAGGGAGGAGTCATGGTTGGAGAAAAAGGTTTCTAAGTGGGTGGCAAGTTTGTCCCTGGGGGAAGAAGAAGCCATGCAGTATGTTCCCCAGGAGGAGCAGGGGCCAGTAGTGAAGGAGCTGGAGGGGGAAGAGGACCCTTTGAGACACCAAGCAATAGAGGAGGAGAAAAAGTTACATTGGAAGTAGCGTCTCACCAGGGAGAAGAAGAGGAGGATAAATGAGGCGAAGAAAATGGCAAAGGAGTTGGAAGTGATAAGGGAGCAGAGAGAGCAGATACAAGCACAGGCAGACATACAGGGTAAATTTGATATCATTATGCGAAATATAGAACTCCTGGGTAGAGCCTGGGACGAGCAACATCAGTTTGCTAGAGCCCAGGACTTCGCCTTACACTCCATTTGCTTGGGTTTCAGGGACTTTGCACATGAGATACTGCTGCACATAGGTGCAGAAATGCAATCGAGAATGGAGGGCACAAAAAAATTCTGCACAGGCGCCATCGAGGGCGCAAAGCTGGCCGTTCTGAAGGAAGAAGAGGTGCACCCCCGTAGAGAGCCCATAACGATCAAATTTTCTGAACCCTATAGTGGGAAGACGAAAGAAAATTTTGATAACTGGGAGGTGAATGTGAACACATACGTTTACTTGCAAAAGATCGTAGCTGAGGAACAAGTCTTCCTTGCTTTTCAGGCCCTCAAAGATGAAGCAGCCAGCTTCGCCAGATCGCTCGGTCGCGCTGCAGAATGTGAAAACAATATGGTAGCCTATTCAAAGATTACTCCTCTCCTTGAATTCCTTAGATTGCTGAAGGAACGATTTGCAAATGTCAGTCGAGGCGTAGGAGCCTCAGACAAACCAAAAACAATCCACTCATGCCAATGGAGGAGCGTTATGGACGAGCTAGTAGTCGTCCCAGACCATGGGGTCACTGAGACCCAGTTGGTCAACTTATTTTATCGTGCCATGCCAGAGCCCCTGCGTGGGCACTTCTTCGAAAAGAGTAGACAACCCACCATGACGTATGATACGTTGAGTAGAGAGGTGGTGCTGTTTGAGGCACAGTCCATGCCAGTTTCCACTTTCTAGCATAAGGACTTAGACGAGTGGAAAAAATGGAAAGGCCGTACCATCTCTGGTCAGGTTACGACCAAGGATCATTTGATCCTCACTTTAGATGAAGGTGGTATGGATGAGGTCCCATACAGTCAGATTGAGTGGTGCCTGGAGGAAGAGGACAGTAGTGGGGGTCAAGGGAGGACCTACGCTGTTGTTGTGGTTGAAGGGAGGCCGCAAGGAAGAGGAGGAGGCCAGTGCCAAGGGGACCAGACCTCAGGTGCTCGAGGACAGGGCGCTCAGGGGGGTGGCGGCAGGGAACACCGCCAAGAGGGAGGTAGGGGTCAAGGTCTCCCCCCAAATCGTCCGCAATCTTATCGGTCACCCCCATGAAGGGGTGGATGGCACCCAGGCTTGCAACAAGGCAGGCCATGGGAAGATTTGGGCTTGGACCAGTCAGTGTGGCAGCGACGTGTGGGCCAGGATCAGCGCATTTATTTCGGTGACCCTATAGAGAAGCCCGTTATGCTGCACAAGCAGCAAAAGGCAACCGTCGATAGGGGTTGTAACTACCCTTACCCGTAGGTCATGTGGAGAAGAGTGCGCACACCACAGAGGAACTCCCAAACCACATGAGCCTACGACAGAGGTTGCTGGCCAGTACCTAGATAATTGTCCAGAGACTGCTTGTGTTAGAGTCTCTCTAGGTACATCCCTCACAGGAGTGGCAAAAAAGTTGAAGGAGAGGATGCCTGCCTGGACCAAAATGAAAAAGGATGCGAAAGGGAAACTAGTTTTAGTAGACGTAAAGATCTTTAGAGGTACAGTAGGGGCCCTTATAGACAGTGGGGCCACCCGCAACTATATCAGTAGAAAAGCGCTACAGAAATTGAAGTTAAATCTTAAGGTCCAAAAGTTAGAAGACCCTATTGTCAGTATCCTCGCAGACAATCGCACTATCCGAGTCGAGGATTACGTTGAGGGAATCCAGGCATACTTTCGCCTAGAGAAAGATGGGAAGGTGGACAAAGTTCTCCATTCCCTGACTCTCCTCGTAGAGGACAACCTTCCTTTCGATATGGTCCTAGGAATGGACTGGGGAGAGGCAGCAGGGGCCACACTCCATTTGAGAGAGCATGAGTGTAGGCTCCCTAGTCCCATAGGTGAAGTTAAGACTGCTCGCCTGTTTCATGTGTCACTCGAACATTGCTGTCTCAGTGCTCCCGCGTTCGCGCGTTTAGTAAAGCAGGAGCAATTAGAAGAGAGGTCATAGACCCTGAGAAAGAGCAGGTTTTTGTAGCCTATGTTAGGCCGGTCACTGAGCCTAAGGAAGAGAGACCATAGACCCTGCTATAGCCAAGCTGCTGGGGGAATATACAGAGTAGTGCTGCAGCCGATCCAGCATCGCATAGAGATAGAGCCTGGCAGTAGGACTCCTAAGGGTGCTGTGTATAGAATGTCCCCAAGGGAGTTAGAGGAGCTGCGTAAGCAATTGGATGAGATACTTGATAACGGTTTGATTAGGCCCAGTTCATCTCCATTTGGAGCACCTGCTTTTTTTTGTCTCCAAGGAGGAGGGAAAACTCAGGATGTGCATAGACTATAGAGGTCTCAACGCCATCACAGTAAAAAAATGCAGAACCACTGCCCCGTATACATGATCTGTTGGATCGGGTGCAGGGCTGCAAGTATTTTTCGAAGAGTCTGGTTATCATCAGATAGAAGTCCACCCTGATAACCAGTATAAGACGGCGTTCCGGATGCGATATGGGTACTACGAGTCTATAGTCATGCCCTTTGGACTAACCAATGCGCCAACAACATTCCAGCGATGTATGAATGATTTGTTTAGGCTGTGGTTAGATAGATTCGTGATAGTGTACTTAGATGATATTCTAGTTTTTAGCAAGACCCTCCAAGAGCATGAGGGCCGTCTGAGGAAGGTCTTGGAGAAACTTAGAGAAGCTAACTTCAAGATCAACGCAAAGAAGTGCGAATGGGCCAAGACACAAGTTTTATACATGGGCCACGTCGTAGACGGAGATGGCATAAAACCTGAAGATAACAAGATAGCAGCGATTAGAGATTGGCCAACGCCCCGCACGCTGACAGAGTTGCGGTCGTTCTTTGGGTTAGCAAACTATTATAGGAAGTTCGTCAGGAACCTCTCCACCATCGCTGCACCCCTTCGCAGGTTGCTAAAGAAAGAAGCAATCTGGAAGTGGGACAAGTGATGTACATCAGCCCTGAGGAAGTTGAAGAGGGCTTTGATGGAGTATCCAGTCGTTAAGGTAGCCGATCCGTCCCTACCTTTCGTTGTTACCACTGACGCGAGTCAGTATGGCATAGGTGCTGTTTTACAACAAGATGATGGCAATGGATATAGGCCTGTAGAGCTCATGTATACCGCTGCCAATAGTTAGTGACAGAGACACCAGGTTCACCGGTCAGAATTGGCAGGAACTGATGAAAGTTTATGGCTCAAAGTTATTGATGTCATCTGGCCGTAATCCTGAGACTAACGATCAGACTGAACAAATGAATAAGCTCCTGCAGCAAGTTCTGAGAATGTACATTAGGCCCGACCAGATCAACTGGGATGAGATGCTTCCAAAGGTAGCCAGTGCATATACAATAACAGCGTGCACTTAGCCACATGTCTCACTCCCAACGAATTGCACAAGTCCTTCAGACCGCGCAGACCATTTGAAGGACTTAACCGGGATCAGATTCAGAGGCTACCGCCCGGTACACGAGAGTTTGCGATACAACACGAGAAGGAGATAGCTACCCTTGTAGATAACCTCAGGAAAGCGCAACATAGAATGATAGAACAAACTAACAACCACCGTCGCCCCTCACAGTTTCAAGTGGGAGACTTAGTCTGGGTCAAGTCAAAAGAGTTCGCTCCTGAGGAGAACATCTCACATAAGTTACTGCCTGCGTATTGAGGACCGTGGCCAGTCTTAGAAGTCAAGGGCGGAGAGGATGGACCGTCCTATACTATTGAGATTCCAGCACACCTCCACACCTACCCAGTGTTCGATGCGTCAAAGTTGTTGCCTTGTATCACAAGTCAACAGTTTCCATCACGAAGATCCATGATTGCTCCGGATATGGACGGAAGATACGACATTGATGGTGTAGTAGGTGAGGATGTCTTCAAGACAGGAGGTAGAGGTCGTCCACAAAAACAGTACAAAGTTAGATTCTCCTTTCAAGAGCCAGAAGACGACCGGTGGTTCATGTGAACAAAACTTTTAGAGACAGCTCCCGATATAGTTCGAGCCTACGAAAGAGATAAGAAGGGTAAAGATCCTGCCTTAGACTGAAGTATTCTCGGAGGACCTCAAATTTAGGCAGGCGGGAGTGAAACGGTTTTCACCTTTTGCAGTCACAGATGCGGGCCTTAGAGTTCGATCCCTAGACCTTACCTTGCCCATGTACAGTATCGAGGTGAACCTCGAGTGTTTGAACCCGTGACCTGTAATTTGGTAGTTGGTTGTTTGTCTGTCCTAGGTCTGTGTAGTTGTAGGGGTTCGATCTGTAGGTCTACCAAGAAGGGGTCATAGTTGTGTAGCGGTCGAAACTGCCAGGCTAGAAGTCTGTAGGTGAGTCGCAGGTCCAACTGCGTTGAGTTGGCAATGCAACCTCATGCAGTCGGTGGTACCAGTCTCAGTCACCCTCAGTCTGGTCAAGCAAGTACTGTGTGCGACTGTGCACACCAAGGGCCTGGTGGAAAGGGGCAGACCAGCAGCAAACAGAAGTGCAAGTTCGCTTGTTTGCGCGCACGGAGTCTGTGAGGCATGCGGCTGAATGGCCTAGTGCCCCAGGACACGACGCCATCCTGCCTACGTCGTGGAGGGAGAGGGCATGTGTCACACACACGCAATCGGTTTTAGGTATGTATGGCTTCCTTCTTGTTATCCTTACTTTTTGGTTGTCTGACGAGCACCTTTAAATAGTGCCAAATAGTCGGTGGTTCATTGTTTGGAGTGCCTGGAGCACTTTTAGGAGGGAAGTTGTGTTGGGGATGCCTGTGCTCCATGGTTGATGACTGGCGTTCGTCGGAGTGACTCCCTGGCTCAGCGGGTGGTGGGAACCAACAGTCTGTGGAGTTCGACTTGTGGTGTGAGTTGTGATGGATTACTCTGGTCTGTGTTGGATGGGTGGACTGCTCCACCGTTGACTTGCTGCCCAACCGCTTGCCATGTCTTTGCCTGCAGCTTGTCTGTTTGCTGTGTAGTTTGGTTACCTTGTTAGTGTTGCTCCGTGCCTTGCCGCGTTGCTGCATTGCTGCCCATCTGCATGCCTTTGATTGCCATGCGTTTTGCTTGCGTCGACGTGTAGTTTGGCTGCATATGCAGTGCTGTCTTGTGCTTCTCTGTGTCGTTGCCTTGCTGCCCGCCCGCTTGCAGTGTCATTGCATGGTGTTAGGTTTTGGTGCTGTATAGGTGGACTGGCCTGTTAGCGTTGCCTGGTGCTTCGCTGAGTCGTTGCTTTGCTGCCATGCTCCGTTTGTAATGTTGCCTGCACCCAGCCCGCTTCCAACATGGGTTAAAACTTAAAAGAGTCCATGACTCAGGGCATCAACATGGGGATTCCACAGATTGTCGAGGGTTCAGCCTCCTGACTAGTCGGTGTAAGCCCGATGAAACAGTCTGTCACCATCTGTGTTGTTTTTTGTAGTTTATTTTTTTCTGTCTTTTACTTGTGTTTCTTCACGCTTCTTTCTTTCTGACAGTTGTCCTATCTACTGGAGATTTATGTGAGAATTATCTTAAAGTCTTTGTGCATGTTTTGTCTCCTCAAGCCATCAACAATTTTGAGTACGACTGTGTTGTACTCAAGCCATCAGCAATGTGTCTTTACAGAGATCAACACACACACTCATTAGGTGTTACATGCACGGATATGCAATGTACGTAATAACCGAGGAACTCCAATGTGATGAAAAGGACTGAATGGACAATACAGTGCGAGTAAAATCTCGACAGACAATGTGCATTCTCATACATACAAAAGGTGCTGAATAGCGCAGGGAAGACTTTGATACAAAGGCTGACCTGACAGGACTGACC